ATGACTTGAATGTTCTTTTGGTGGAACAGTTCTTCTTTTCCTATGTGACTCAGAAAAACATACAATATTCTTCATTTAGATTGTCTTGTTTCTTTCAGTAGTGGAGACACTTTTATTATAGAACGTTATGATTGAAGACAATAATTGAATATATTTCTGAAAGAAAAAAACAGTAAATATAAGTGCTATTGTACTTCTATATCATTTGACTGCTATCTGGCGAATACTAGTGAGTGACCGGGGCCCCAGTCCCGGCTAAAAATGACACTTTTTTTAAATCCAGCCCCGGCTAAACTATAAGGTTTAGCAGGGATTGATAGCCGGGGTAATAAAAAATTTTATAATACTTTTTATATTATAATTTTATGCTTACATTTGTTATATATTAAATACTGGCGTATATTTATACATTTTCAAAATTGAATTTACTTCCAACAAGATTGCAAGCAACCACTATTACGTTATAAGTTACTTTAAAATAGAGAATAAGTAAAAACACTAGGAAATGGTTAACTGAAGACTTGAAAAGTTGTAGGTTGTATATAAAAGAAAAACATGAAGATGGTTAATAGTTTTAAGGTTTTTTCGATGTGCAGGGGAAAAAACTGGATTATTAAAAGTTTTTATAGCATGAAGGTAGAGATACATTAAAAGGATGCAACTTGTTGAATAAGAAACAAGCAAGAATGACTTTTGGTTTATTGTAATAGAGATGTTTTAGTATTGACCATGAGAAAAAAGAAAGAAATACAACCTTACAACAATGGAAGAGTGGCTCAAGCTTGGCAGACAAAGCAGGTCTAATTTATTATTATTGTTTTTTTATGTTAATTCGCCTCCCCAAGGCTGAAAACACCACTACAGATAAGGAGGCTACTTAATTGTGGTTATAACCCTCTCTCAACTATATAACTATGAAATGCAAACCTTGACAACCAAGGCCTAAGAGTAAAATGGTTCTTATTAATCAATATAAGAATGCCAACATTATTGCAATATTTTTTTGCAGTAAATAAATGAGTTTTGTTTTCTAACAAAAATTGCAGATTTTAAGTCCAGAATTTAAATCCATAAGCCACAGCAAGCCTTAAGCTGAAGCCACAGTAAGCCTTGGTAAGCCACAGCAAGCCTTAAGCTGTTAAAGAAGAGAGATCAGATTAAAAATCAGCTGCTTGTTCTAAGCAATCAAAAAGTTTTTTTCAAAGATTATTTGTCAAGATAAGAGTAAAAAGTAATAGAAATAGAGCAGCTTTAGATGTTAAATTTTCATGAAGATTGATATTGTATATAAGAAACAATACAGGAGCAAAGATTTAAGGGTACCACAAGATTTCAAGTTTTTAACTTAAAATCTTGTGGTACCCAATTTTAAGTAATTTTAAGGGTACCTTGTGGTACCCTTAAAGTTACCTGGAATAAAGAAGAATGTAGGCCTTCAAGAATAGCTTAAATACTGCAGTTAGTAAGAAATAATTTAATAATCTCAAAACCTTTATATAAAGAACTAATAACGTAGTGAAGACTAATCGTATGATAGTTGGAGAGGTCCAAGTGTTTTCTAGAGTTTTGAAAAATTGGAACCACTTATTTAGCACTTTTTAAAAATTAAGTATTATTAAACATTATATAATTAATAAAATTATATGTTAGACTTACTTTAGTTAATGACATTGTTAAAGTCTCTAGAACCTAACATCTGATATAAGACACAAGATTTAGTAAACTGAGAATAACAGGGCTTAACATCAGGCGGGACCGATTTGGCAAATACTACACTATGTGTAGTATTTGGCAAAAAAAAATTTTAGGATGTTTATGCAGCCCCGGTCACAAACCAGGTCCCAGCCCTGGTCAAATATCAGCCCCGGTCGTTCACTAGTGAATACAGATTCATGTATAATTATTAGCAATGCTCAATCATGCAGCTTATATAGTCTAAATCTTGCTATTTTCCATAAACTTCTAGAAGACTTTTTCCATAAATTTCTATAAAGTTTCAGAGATTTTCATAAGTTTCATGAAAATTCTAGGTTTCAGAAAGTCATAATGCTACTGCCTGCAAATACTGCTTATATAAGATTTTAAAAACTTTGTGTTGTGGGTGACTTTTTTTTGAAAATTAATCAGAATAAAACCCATTTTCAATATTTTTGAACAAAAATTCATTGATTTTTGAACAAAAGTTTATAATACTTTAAACTAGTTTTGTTATCAATTCCGACCTTTTTTTCAGAAGTGTTAAATGCAAATCAATTTTATTAAAAAAACAATTCATTTTTAAGTTTTCTGTCTTTGATTTTAGCATCTAATATAGACAATAGATTCTCAATTGAGATTTCTGCATTTTATATATACCTTTCATTTGCTGTATGCTTTAGATCATTGTCTTGCTGAAATATATAGTTTCCATCCTGAAATAGATATGTTATTCTTGGTTTTAATTGGTGGACTTAAATATAATGATTCATGGTCCATGATTCCATTATCTCTGTACAAGTTTTCCATTCCATGAGCAGTAGATGATTTCAAATCCTCAAATCATGATTTTTTAATATTTTTTTTGTAGCTTTTATACACTCTGAATTATATGGTGTACCATTTTTTTCCATATTTTTTCTCAATTACCTTATTCTAGCACAAAAGGTGACTCACTTGTCAATATGACATGCTTCCATTGATCTAAAGTCCAGTTTAACTGATCTTGGCACCATTTTAGTCTTGTAACAGGATTTTTTTATGAAAAGCTTCTTTATTTTCCACCCTGAAGTAAACTCTTTAACTACCCTTATATTTGTAACAATCATATTCGTACATAACTTTTTAGGTTTAAATTTTATCTGACTCACAGATATCGTACAATTCTTTATCACTTTCCTCATCAATCGATCTCTTTTTGTAGTTTTTTGCTATCTTTCAGATCCCGATATGCTGTTAATTAAATTTTGAGATAAAAAATTTTGACACAACATCTACAGTTTAAAGATTTAAACTGTAGATGTGTTTTTTAATTGTAGATCTGAATCCAAACTCTTTGGAAATATTAGGCAATGACCAATATGCATGGTGCATTTTAATTATTCGACCTTTATTTGTATGAAACATATTTTTTTCCTAAACAGGTAAATAAGAGTTTTAACTGATAAGCAAATAATATAGTTAAAAATAAATTTTGAAATACTATAAGTATGAATGTCTCATAACTAATTGATAGTTCAATTTTAATAGTTACAGAACCAAAAGTGTTTAACTCTATTATTTTTAAATTTTAAATATATTTTCCTTACATATAAAATTGCTAAAATATTTAGTTAAAAAAAAAAAAAGTTTAATTTTTTGATTTATACAGGTATGAAAAGTTAAAAACAACTTTATATTACAAAAAAAAAAAAAAAAAATGTTATTACATGTTACACTTTATAAGAGGAAAACTATAGTTTCAAAGAAATCCTTGTTTGAACTGTTTTTATTTTAGTTATGAAAATAGTGTAAATATATTAGGTATCTAACTTAGAAAACCAAAAATTCAAACAAACTTCATGCTACAATCAATTTTACTTTATTTTAAAAAATTAGTATTTTTTTATAAGTTAGTTTTTACCACTTCTGCAATTTAGTTTATTTTAATTTCATTTCAACAGTTTAATTAATTTTTCTTATTGTTTTAATGAACAATATAGTGCATTATTAGTTATTGAATGATAAAGTGCATTAGTATTTGAAAAAATGTGACAAAACATTGAGTTTTATGGCTTTTTTTATAAAAAATCATGTTGTCTCATTTTTTTTATATAAATGCACATTTAGATAAGCATATGCTTACTAGCTTTGCTTATCTTTAAAGCATACAGCATTTTCAGAAAAAGAAAAAAAAACAAAGAATAATAAAAGAAAAGATTGTTGTTTCATGCCAAACTCTCAGTCAATATAGCAGCACTCCTTTATGGCAGCAGGCTATAAAATAGTCAAAATATGTTGTAAAGCCCCTGGCAACAGGCTGTTTCATTGTGATGTCACAGGGCTTATTTAAACACACATTTATTGTAATATATATATATATATATATATATATATATATATATATATATATATATATATATATATATATAAATGCATATGAATATATATTTGAGCATGCTTTATGAGCCAAAAGGCAATACACAGAGCACATATTTTACTTTTCTCCTAGATTGGAGTCATCAAACAGCTCTAGGCAGTATTGCATGGTGTTTCTTGCTCGCTTTTCTTGGATTTGCAGACTTTTAACTGATGAAAATTTTTTGTTTCTCTAATCTTTTCTTTTGCTTACTTTTGTTTCTGGCAAAAGAAGGAAACCATTGTTTTTAATAACTCAGTAATTAACTCAACTAGGAAGCTGAAAACCAATGGCTTATGATCAAAATTAATAAAATAATGTTTGTATTGATAAACTGTGTGTTAGTTAGACAAAAATTCAACTAACCCCGTATTTTGAATAACCCTTTTCCTCCCTATCTGTATTGGAAACCATCTAAAAATAGATAATTTTACTATCATATTTTATGTTACTTTAAATATTTTTTTCTCTTTCAAAAATCATATAAAATTAAAAGTAAGTTAAAGTTTAGAATTAGGGAATTAGGAACCATCTTGAATTGAAGGGACCTTCTGTTATTAAATACCATTTTGAGTTAAGTACCAACTGTTATGGGGATCATTTATAATTTATAATTTATAACAGTTGCACTGCATATTTTAAATTGTTTTTGATTTTATAGATTGACAGCTTATTTTGGTTTTATATTGTTTTTGATTTTATAGATTGACAGCTTATTTTGGTTTTTATAGATTGACAGCTTATTTTGGTTTTCTCGACATTGTTTTTGATTTTATAGATTGACAGCTTATTTTGGTTTTATATTGTTTTTGATTTTATAGATTGACAGCTTATTTTGGTTTTATATTGTTTTTGATTTTATAGATTGACAGCTTATTTTGGTTTTATATTGTTTTTGATTTTATAGTTTGACAGCTTATTTTGGTTTTCTCGACATATGCCAGCCTAAGTTTGGAGAGACTGTGTTTGTAAACACAGCTGCCGGTGCTGTAGGAAGTATAGTTGGTCAGATCGCAAAAATAAAAGGTTGTCATGTAGTTGGTTGTACAAGTTCTGATGAAAAAATTGAATACTTGAAAGAAATTGGCTTTGATGGAGCTTTCAATTACAAAACTGCTAATATAGAGGAAAAAATAAAAGAGCTTTGTCCAAAAGGAATTGACTGCTTCTTTGATAATGTATTCTAAGAATTTTTTTATTTTGATTGTTGTTGTTGTTATTATTTTGTTGTTGCTTTTTTTGTTTTGTTTTTTATTTTCCTTTTTTTATTATACTAATTTTGTAATAATATTTATTATTTTTTGAACTTTTTTAGTTTTAAATGTAAATACGTAATACATAGTTAGGGCAAATAGGGAAACTAAAAAAAATGCAATTTTTCAATTTTTTTAAGTTTTAAATTAAAGCGGTATTTAATTAACTAAAAAAAAAATTGTTATTTTAAGAGACCTGATCTCTTTTTTTTTTGGTAATTAAGAATAAGTATTTTTTTTATATATAAAACCTATATTTTTATAAAAAAAAACGAAGCAAATTTTGTAAAAAGCCCAAGCTGTTAGTAAAAATTTGAAATTTTTATTTGTTAAAAGTTTATTGAATGCTTTTTAACTACAAAGTAATGTCAACTTTGAGGTATTTACTAAGTTCATTTACTAAGCGGTTTAATAATATTTTTTAAGTTTTGAAAATATAATTCTCTTTTTAATGTTTTAGCATTTCTTTCTGACCCATCAGACCTTTTAGTTTTTTTAATATATATTGAAATTTTTTACTAGTCTGCAAGTTAAAAGTTGCTTCTTTAAATGTATCCCCAACACTTATAATTTTGAAACATATTTTATTCTATTTTTCATAAAATTAAGAATGAAGTTAAAAAAATTTGTTAACCTATGTCCTTACTAATGCAAATCTAAAAATCAACCACTTGAATGATCAGGGTTTTTAAAAATTTTAACAGGTCATTTTTCAGAATGTAGGAAAATAAGAATCAGTTAAGCGTAATTTTTAATTTAATAGACAAATACTTTACTCACATGCAATAAATGTTACTGGAAAAATAGTAACCAAATGATTACAGTAATCAAAATCTAAATGACTCTTAGTCATAAAGTCTTTTTTGAGTAAAGTAACAAAAAAAATTTGCATAATTTTGGTTAGTTTAGTAACCAAACTTATAAAAATTTGAAAAGTATGCTGTGTTTAAAAGGTGTTGTGCGGTGTTAAAAGGTGTTGTACAGTGTTTTAATGTGTTTTACAGTGTTTTAATATGTTTTAATGTGTTTTACAGTGTTTTAATGTGTTTTACAGTGTGTAAAACAGATGTTTTGTAGTTTGAAAGGTGTGGCTTTTTAAAAAATCTTTTTTTTTACAGGTAGGTGGTCCTATGTTTGATACAGTATTATCTCTTATGAATAGATATGGCAGAGTTTCAGTTTGCGGTTCAATATCTACATACAATGAAAAGGAGTCAAGTAAAGTTAAAGGTTTGTGTAATAAACATAATGTTTGTTTATTAAACGTAAATCTACAATTTTTTTTACAGAATTTTTTTAGATTGTTATTTTTTGAAATTTATTGTTGTTTTTAAATTTATATCAGTTTCAGTTACCACTGTAGTATATACTTTTTAACAGTTATATAATTTGTTAATACTTTAAATAAAGTTAATCTAAAAATTCAAAAATAGGTCCATACGTTCATAATTACATTATCCACAAAGAATTAAAAATTCAAGGATTTATGGCACCTTCTTATTATGATCGTTATGAAGAAGGAGTACAAAACTTACATTCATGGATGCAACAAGTATGTGATTATTTTATTATTTTATTACCCTTAGTATCTTTTCTCAACTTCTCTTTATTCTCTCGGTTTTAAACTTGAAAATAAAGTGGTGTGTTTTTGGTTGAGCAACATTTAACACAAAAAAATACAACAATCTAAAAATATTGAATTCAAATGGTTTAAACAGAAACAATTAGAAAAGAACCTTCATCAATTATTTAGATTGCATTCTGGTCTTCCGAGTTATGATATTCTTGGTTGTCAATTTGATTTCATATAATTTTTTTTTTTTTTTTCGCTTGACTGTGCATGACTATCCAATAACCATGAGAGACAACAGTAATTAGCAATAATTTGATTAACCATTAACATTAGAATTTCTTTGGTATTGAGAGAGTTTTTATGAGTTTCAGTTAGCAATCTAATCTTGTACAGTTGGAATTTAAATGTTTTCAATGGGCTAAACAGGCCATTTTGCATATTTTAAATTGGATACAATTATTTGTTTGTTTTTCTCAGAAAATGTGACATACTGCAAAAAATAACAGTCAGCAAAATGATTTTTTTTCTCCCATAATGAATGGTAAAAATGATTTTTTTATATTTTTGTTTTTTATTTCTTTATAATTAGTTTTATAAGCTGTTAGAGAAAGCTGAGCAATTAAAACAAGGAGCTCATCTGTTTTGATTTCTAAGAACTATTGAATTAAAGACATAACTATTGAATTAAAGACATAACAATTGATTATTCCTGCACTGTTTTATTGCTTAGGATTTGTTAAAGACCACGCATATAAGACAAGCATATAAATATTACAGGGGTAAAAAAATTTACCAAAACACAAGCATTATCAGCAATAGCATTATCAATAAAAAATTTTATATATGGCCTTTTTATCTTTAAGTACGTGGACCATAGGGTATAAAAACTAATTTTATGTTATTATTTTGTATACAATAAAATAATTTTAATAAAGTTAAAAAAACAAAATAGTATATTTAAAAATTCATTTTTATATATTTGAGTAATGGAAATTTTTTTCAGTTTTTCCATCATTAAAAATAGATGATAAAGCGTTAAATATAAAAGACTTAACTTAAAAGAATTTTATTGCTATCACTGATACATAAACTATTTTAGCCCAGATAATAAACCATATAAATATAAAGGATTGTTACTATACAAGCAGACAGCTTTAGTATGATCTACTAGCAGATTTATTTCATTTATAGTTCAATTAAGATATTGATTTTAGTAAAAGGTGAGCAATTTTGTTAAGAATTTTCTATGGGCTATAAGAGATTTTTTTTTCAATTTTTCAAACAAAAAACTGTTTTTGGGCATTTATTTTATTTGATGGAATCTATTGCATCCTATTTACTCAACATAAGTTTAAAGAGTGTGAACATTGCCTAGTAAAAACAAAACTTGTAGAAATCTTTTACACTTTGTACCGACATGTTTTTTATATAATTTTGTTTAAAATCTTGACATCTGCATAGTTCTAAATTTAAATTACATTCAACCAAGTTTATTTTTATATATTTAATTTTATTTGCACCTATTATTTTTGTTCATAGTCAACAATTTTTAAACAGAATTTTTTTTGTAAATTTCCAATTTCATTGTTCTCAAAAACATCTTATTATAACACTTTTTTTTACAATTTTATGTTTTTTATTTCTATTGTAATTTTGTTTTGAAATTCATTGACACAGATTTTCAAAAAGTCATTTTAACTTTTTTGAAATAATTAACATTCTTAAACATATAAATGTTTTTTTGTTTGGCTCTAGTAACTAACCAACTTTTCACTTTAATTGTTGAGTGTGTACCAGTACGTAAAATAACAAACAGTTTTCTGCTCGTTTGTGATATCCACGAATTACTAATTAATCTGATTTAATTCAAAATTGCAAGTTATTGTTGATACCTTTCTATTATTTATTAATTCAACTAAGGTTTTTATTGGAAATATCTTTCTGAATGTTTAAGTGTTTTTAAGTGTTACTATTGAGGCTAGTTATCTTGGCGTAAAGCTATGTAGTGAAATCTTTCTTAGCAGAAAATGACAATTTAGGTTTTCATTTAAAAAAAAGAACAATATGAAAATAAGTTTTAAAGTCACATTTAAAATTAAAGTCACTTTCTTTAGTAAATACCTTTTTAAAAAATTGTGGAATCAGGTTGTTATTGCATTCATCATGGGTGACATAGTAAACCAACTCTGGCCAGGTAGTTGCAATCTGAAAGTTTTTGCTAAATTGCTGGTTCATTACTTAATTGAAACACTAATGGATCATCAATTTGTGTATTAGATTTTTTTTTATTTTTTAACATAGTTGCTTCAAAATTGCTCCTAGCAGCCACTATCAGAGTTGGAAGTTACTGGAAGAGAAAAGATGAAGTTTATAAAGCAAGATAACAGCTTAAAAGATTACAAATTATATGAATCAGGAAAACAAGATAAAGGAAGCAAATTCCAAAGAACTGTGTTCAATGGAAAAAACTGGACAAAAAAAAATTTGTAGCACTTAGTCACAGTAAAAGGATGATACTTAATTGAATGACGAGTAACAAGAGAATGAATTTTAGTAGACAGCACAAGAGAAACTAATTGTTTAGAGCAGCATCCATTGTAGTATATATAAAAAAAAGAGAAAAAAAAACAACATTACAATGATGTGACAATGGTTAAAGGTTGGCTGCAAGAACAGGTCACTATTTTCTAAGTAATAGTTACACGAGTGTTCAACTATGTAATACCAACAATTTGTATTATAGTTGTTTTATTGCTTCAACTACCATTTTCATTTTATAGACCAAATTATTGGTTTGCTATTTAAAGCATGGTTTGACTTGGCTTATGCATTGTGTGAAAATATCAGCATTTTCTAAGGTATAAACTACTGTCAAAATGTATGAAAATTTTAAAAAATGGTTAAAAAGGTTTATAAAGTTTAAATGGTTAAATGGTTAATGGTAATGGTTAAAAAGTTTTATAAAAATTTAGATAACTAAAATAATTGACAAATTAAAAGTTTAAAGAGCAAGTCAGAGGAAAATCTTATGAAAGGGAGAATAATCATTTGAAGAGCAGTAAAAATCTTTTGTATGATTGTGTCATCAAATAAAATCTTATTGAAATTGTCAATAAGTTGAATACAAAATTAATAAGTTGAAACAAATAATGACAAGTGTCATTAATTTAAATAGTTATTTCCTTTAAAGGAAAGAATTATGTAAAAATTATTTTCCTTATAATTTAAGTAATTATTTCCTTGATTTTAAACGTTTGTAATTAATAATATTTACAGGTATGTTAATGGATTGTTATCCAATATGAATTCAGGTTAAGCTTTGTAAAAGGGGTAATTCGGTTTAATTTAGTTGGATTGAGTGAATTGCCTCAATGCTAAATCAAGCAAAGGTTCACGGTGAAAATTTGTATGCTTGCTCTGTCTGAAAAATGTTTATGACAGCTTACTGTTTTCCGAGCAGATCTAATATGCCAACTGTACGAGACAAAGATCAATATCAGTGATTCTTGGGTACCACAAGGACTCTGCAAATTGTTTAGAACAATTCTGTGCAGAAAACAAGAGGGGGGAAAAGTTATACTCCCTCCTTTGTTTAATTTCAATTCAATACAAGTGGGACCTGAAACAAGAAGCACAATGTGTTATTGCCTAAATTGGTTCTTATATATTGCCTAAAATTGGTTTATTCAAAGCTGCAAGAAAAACATTCTCTTATAGAGTAAACCACCATTGAGAAAGAGCCAAATATACATTGCAACACATGCCTCTGACCTTTAGGAAAAAGCTTGCCACCAATGCTCTCAAATAAAGCTCATGGAAAACCTTCAATCTTTAGCAGCAAAAGATGTTAGAGCAGCTGAAACGATTGCATTTCAAGTTATTTTCAATAAAGAAGAAGAAACTAAGCCTGAAGAAACTATTTGAGTTGCTAAAGCATCTGGCGGGCCTCCACCTACCCTAGGTGAATACTTAAAAAATTTTTGCATTCTTGTCTCCTCTTTTAAAGAAAATCTTTAAAAAAGGAGACAAGAAGTTTCCAGAAGTGTACTTTTAACAAATTTATAATCACCTTAAAAACGAATAGTTTAAAAGTTTTAAACAAACTTTCTGAAAAAAGTTTAATATAAAGATCAAATATGTATGTTTTGGCTTCAGGTCAAAATAATGCTCAGCCACTATCAATCGCTTCAAAATTGATCTATCTAGCTCTTGTAAATCTACAATTAAATATGGGACTATCAAACAACAGAATAAAGAAACTGTTCAAAACTGTAAACCAAACATCAAGCAGCAAGATGGTAAAGCCAAATTTTTATAAGAATTTCTAAAGAGCAGGTTACTTGGGTGATTTCTTCACCTGCAGTGATTCAAAAATTACCAAAAAAAAAGATTCTGGTATAGTTGGAGTTGTTGCTCACTGTAATGATTTATCAAGTCTTGTGAATCACTGGAGTTAAGAGACAAGTTCTTATTATGGTATTAGAAGATTTGCAAGAAGCTCACTCCAACATTGAACAAATCTGGTCACTGATTAATGCAAATGGAGTTAAACTAACTTTAGCTTGCAATATGATAGTTGCAAATGTAATTTATAATCTTCAAACACATTCAAATATACACCCTTGTACATGGTGTTAAATCAAATCCAAGTGTCTTGCCGAAAATTACCGAATATGAAAACTTGCGAACACTGGGCTCAATCAAATCTAGCCTTGAGTTTTTTCAGCAATCTAGCAGGGTTATTGGTTGTGTCTACTTATAGGTGTTGTCATTCATCTTTTCAAGATTCTTAGATCTTTTCAAGATTCTTAGATCTTTTCAAGATTCTTAGAACTTTTCAAGATTCTTAGAACTATCATGATAGCCAGTTCAAGGAAAATAAAAGTAGGAAGCTTCTTAAAAAAATGGATGTGCTGCAACAATATGCTGATGCAAAACCGGTTCCCAACATTCTTCACATAAATGAAGCATTCAAAAGT